GGTTCTCCGTCAGGCGCCGCGCGGCGCCGTCACCCGGCCCAGGTGCGTCCTCGTCGCGCGCCCACAAGCCCTCTGGCCGGGCCTAGAGGCGGCTTTTTTCACCTAACCCTCTCAACATGGGGAGGACTGACTGACAAAATGTTCGACTCTCCAGCCGGGAGAGATGGCTCAGGGCATTAACTGTCCCTGACGTCACTGCAGTGCCCTCTGACCGCGACGTTCTAGGTTCAAGCCCCAATGGTGACCGAATTTTCGATTCTAGCTTGTCAGCTAGGTCGAATTCAATCGTTGTCTGGAGGAGAATTCTAGAGGCAAGCTGTTCTGATCGGTAGCTTTTCGTGGCTTCTCCACTCAACACCAGGCGAATATCGGAACAGTACCCTAACAAACGGACCGCGCGCGATCTGTCCTACCTATTCCTTGTCCTATCCTCTCCCCTTACACACATTTACACTAACGAACACTACCACACATCCCGGGAGACCGGTCGAGAGCTTAGAGCTTGTCCCGGCTGGGACGGTGCCCCGCGGGTAGGAGATACCTGGTTGAGGGAAACCCTGCTAGCTTACGGTATGTCGACGCCGGATCACGCCATTCAACGGGGGGAAGATCACCGCCGCCTCTCGAGCATATCATGCACTACACTTACGGGACTAATGACTTCAGTAATTGACGCGCCCGGAATTATTAGCTAGCTACCAACCTCGACACTCCAGCTCACTGGCAACATTGGATCCCAGAAGGGTAGGGAAGGGCCGCTGGGGCAACTAACCCCGACTTAATCGGAAACCAGATATTCTTTGGTATAAAACAAAATGTTTTATTTCGAATTAATCACCCTACGTTATTTCTATTGAAGGGCGAATTAATTATTTTTACACATTGGGATGCGGCTGAACTTTAGTTTGTAATTAGGGGCCCCGGTTGATCTAAAGTCCCAGGCCTCTTCTTTTCTTTGGGCGCCCCTGAGTGGCAGCACTGTTGCCTCTGCAGCGTCGCCTCTGCAGCGTTGAACGGGAGGTCCTCGAGTTCTAGTCCCGACTATAGTGGAGTGTATACTATACCTACTTCGCTGTGTCAAATTCAACTACTATCTAGCGGCATGCCACTTATCGGTATATCCGATCAATGAGTATCACTGGAATGCTCGAGCATGGACCATGGACCGCGCGATCTTTCCTTCCTTGCCCTCGAGCGAAAACTTCAAAGAAAAAACTTAAAACCATTTTTGAGTAAATTTTGAACACTTTTAGAGGTTTCGTGTGAAGTGCATTTCAAAATTAAAATATCGGTTTAAAATGAGCAAGGTCACGTCGATTTGGAATATTGGAATTTGGAAGTTGTTCCTACTTCGGACTTTATCTACTCTTTTTAGATAATATGAACGTTAATCGGATGTCAGTGATTCAGATTCGAATATTCACGTCATATATAAGAAAACCAAAACCCAATAACAGTCAATTTTACATTTATTGATTACAAAAGATATTCGTTGACGTGTTCAAAATTCCTTGGGGTAGTTGAATCATAGCGCATCTTAAATTAACAAAGCTTTCCAGAGGGCATTGGTGGAGTGAGAAAATATTGATTCCTAAGTATCAATTATGTAGTCTACTGTGGTCATTAGTTCCGTACGTGCAGTGCAATATCAACATATATGTCTGCTTTAGGATTTTGACATTCCACAGATAAATTCCCTCTAGAAAATTATGATTTTCTTTATTAAATCTAATTAATATGCCCAATTACTCATTATCTAATTCTAAAACAAAGATAAACCAAAACTAAACCAACATAACACTTGACTAATGAAAGAAATGGCATGTTACTCTTATTTTCAACACATAACTAAATAAATTAGCTATAATGTAGCCTTCATATTACAATTAACTTGAGATAACTATTAAAAATGGATTAAAATTTTCATACAAAGAACAAAGTCAACTTCTTTAACATTTTCAGAAATTGTCAAATTTGTATTCGTTATCTTCCTAGGTTGAGCTCAATTGTGCATGGTGCCCTATCTGTGTACTCTTTAATTTTGCACGCTTTTCAAACCTGTGCACCTCACACTGTAGTCTAGTTTTCAACTTGTCTGTGAACAACAATCAAGGATCCAGTTCTTAATTGAACAACAGTTTCCCAAGGAGTCAATATCATGATTAATGTTTTTATAAATTTTTATTACAGGATTGAAATGGTCATTAAGAAGAATTTGACAGTGATTTGCAACCTTTTTAGTAATTTTTCAATTGATTTTAATGCATTAATATATGTTATTTACTAAATAAAAATATTGATATTTAAAGAAGTCTCATGAGAAGCATGTGAGATGAACACAGCCTAAAGGTAGAGAAAGGCCAACTACATTTTTAAAACTAGAGAAAGGACAACTTCCATTGAATGATCTTATTTAATATGTTTTAGTTGCCTGTAAATGAATAAAATATACATGGAAAATTTATTTATAACTTTAATGATACAGTTAATAAGTAAACTATTTGTTTACTACAAAATTGTCTTTTAGAGTTACTTTGCACTTTACAAATGTGTTTAGAATTAATACATAACTAAATGTTAGCCTTTTTTGTGTGTAAACACTTCATCTGGAGTCCTCTTTATAACTTTCTGAATGTCAAGAATGGAGAGAAGACTGGATAATGAGGATTGGAAAATACCATATGTAGGTTAGGTGATAAAATGAGTTTTATGGGGGTCAGAATAACTTCTTGGGAAATCTTTATTGAATGTTATTTTGGGAGTAGTATTTTTAAGTAAGAAATTATTAGTGACTGGAGAAAGTGGTAGGGTGTTGTAGAATTTATTTGAGGGATGAGAGAATAATTGGGCTATGATGGATATATCAAAAAAGAAGGAAATCAGGGTTTCAACATACATACAGAAATAAAATGTTTAATTAATTAAAGCTACAGACCTCATTTCAAAATTTTCAGGGGACCATAGTCGCTTCCATGTGTGTAGGTAGTGATTAGGTAATGATTTACAAAAGTTTTTGAACATTGAAAATGGTCTTAGAATGGCAATGGTTGAGAAATTCTGGCTAAGTAAGATCACATGGTATTGAGTAAGTTATTAAATTAATCAGAAGGTATTTTTTATCTTTATGATGTCTAACTACAGTAGACCATCCATGTGTCATTATCATCATTTTTTATGTGGAAGATGTCTTTGCTTGATGTAACAGTAGTTCTATCCTCTATCTTCCAACTCCAGTCCAGTGGTTCTATCCTCCAGTCCAGTGGTTCTATCCTCCAACTGAGGCCTTCCAATGCTTCCGTCGGAGGCAATGGAAGAAGAGCTGTATTTATTCCTTTTTGTAGATATGTAATATTCATTTCTTTTTCTAATAACTTATTACTTTCCTGCATACGTACGTGTATACGATGTAATATACTTACTAAAAGGAAAGTAATGTTATGCTGCGGAAAATCAATTTCGAGATTTCAACGGAAATACACGTTTTAGGGTCCCCTGATACGGAAACGGGTGATTTTTTTCCTTTTTTTTTTCTTTTCAAAACGTCCGTCCGACTGTCCATCTGACCGTCCATGCGTCTGTCTGGTGTATGTGAACACTAGCGCCTAAACCATGAATAGCATTTTTCCCAAATTGAAGAAACCCCTATCCTTTTGGCCTGAGTCGATGATCTGCAATTTTGAAAATCATTAATTAGGTTTTGGGGGTACTTTACATGAAGCCTACAGGACATTTTTAAAATTTTCTCAAAAACGGCTTCATTTTTTCTTTAAATTTCTTGTAAGAATAGAGTAAAATACGCTTATAAAGGTGGCATAGGCCCTAGTTTCACGCTTAACTCTGAATTTTCAAAAATTTCGAAAGTTTGAAATTTTTCGGGTCATCCTACAACTACAAAATTAAAGATAATAAAAATAATATTCAAATAAAATTTGTTCTCCATAGTAAGTTCTTTTATTTACATCATGTACTTTTTTTTTGTTGAAATTTTAGTAGTCTTCGCGCAATATTGCCTTCAATATGTGCAATTTCAACAAAAAAAATATACAAAAATAAAATTTCTCAGAAACCGCTCCAAATGTTTTGTTTAAACTTTTGACAGGGATAGTGTTGAATGCACTCTATAAGATGACATAAACGTCATATTGCTCTATTCTTTTTTTCTTTCAAAAATTAGAAGAATGTAATTTTTTTGACTTGTTTCTCATGTCGTCAATATTTACATTAGCGGCAATTCGTTCACATTATTGTATTGACGGGTATTTACTTGTCATAAATATTGTTGTCAAAAATATTGTCATATACAGTTTCTCCAAAACTCTTCTGTTTCCTGTGAAAACAAGTTCAAAATTCCGCAGTTTTAGAAAAGCTCAATCGCTATTTCCTCAAAAACGGCTCCAATTTTTTCTTTAAACATTTCGAACGGATATTGCTAATTCCACTTTTTAATACGTAATGACGTGACGCAATGACGTAAAGTTCATTTCGTTGATTTTTTTTTAATTACACAAATGTGGATATTTGGAACGACCCGTTGCAAAGATCTCATGCCGTTGATATGCACATTTCCAGCAATTTGTAAACAATATTGTATCTATGAGCCAAAGTACTTAAAATTACTTTAAATGAAGTTTTTTGAAAACAAACTTTTCTGGGAAAAAATCTTAAAATTTCCAATTTACTGTCGCGCTTAAATGCCATTTTCTTAAAAACGGCTCCAAATTTTTCAACTAAAATTGCAATTTGGAATGAGGTTTTACTGTTCTTTAATATTTTTAAATGATATTTCGATTCTACATTTAGGAAGCCGAAAAATTAAGATAATTTCAAAAAAATGTATTTTGGACGACGATAAATGGCAGCTGGCAAGTGTATGTGGCAAGCCGAGACCAAGGGAAATAGAAAACTAATACGAGAAAGTCTGTGTCATTCTGTGATACCACTAGCTTTTCATTTATATCAAAACAATAGCTAATACAATTGTCTCGTTTTTTGCTCGCGACGTGGACTACGCATGTGCGCACCCTGCATTTTCCGGGGTTCAGTAACGTTACATCGGTGGCAGGGGCATGTAATTTACCATAAGATCAGCATTTAGCTAGATCCGATTTTTATGTCCGAGGGTTGTTAGCCCTGGGGGTATGGAATACGAAATGATGATGATAGTGAGCGGTGAATGGACGACACACACATAAAGACCAACACAAACACACCCATGCCCAAGGCGGGACTCGAAGCCACGCTCGTCTGGTATGAGACCGATATGGCACTACTGCCTTAACGACCTCGGCCATCTGATCGGCTGTCAGCTTTTATTAAAAAATACGTTTAATATTTTAATAAATGTGTTAACAACATGAAATTATGGTTTGTATGTCTGTAATTGTTCACTTTCTTCTTTCCTCTTTGAGGTAAGAGGTTATGCTACATTAACATGAAAAACATTTTTGCATTTTATTAACATGAAAACTAATATGTTCGTGCTTGTTTCTCAGCTAAAATCTAGAATTATAATTCAACAATGCATTTTAATTATGTTGATTTTTTACAATGGTTTATGTTCTTAATTGCAGCCCGAGCTCGATCCAGCACTCAGTGTGACACCGCTGGTGACGGAAGCAATGGGCGACCAGAGCAATCTAACGGTGTACTTCTAGAAGGTGGTGCAGGGAATGGAGCAGGAGGTCTCACCATCTACTTCTGAGGACATTGACACACTCAATACTTTGCCCCTGGCTCCCTCCAACTGCAAAACACTGTTGTAAAAATACTCCAGAGTTGTGCTTATTTTCTAATGTAAAAAATTGTTGTTTAGTAAATACTTGTTAAATTTACAGTGATGTACCAAGAACAAATTGTAATAAACGTATTTCGTCATAAAGTGAACTATCTTCAATTTCCTTGACAAAATATATTTTCTCCTGCCTTCAATATTTTAAAACATACCGTACTACCAGTATGAAAGCTGGAATTTGTTCTATAAATTTCAATTAAACAATAAGACTTCACACTAAAACAATAAGAATAAATTTTATTAATACACAAGAAATAAAGATTATAAATGAACTTCAGTGAAAAATACCCACTGAATTTGCTTGATTTGAATGGTTTGTGTGAATTATTAAAATTTTATATCGATTTGTTGCTGTGGATTAATTGCAAATTGAATTGTAAATTAAATACACGTTCCACAGAAGTGGAACAATCACAGATTGATCTGCATTAAATATCATGTAAAGTTCCCCCACAAAAAATTGATGGTTGAAATTCTATCTTCCCAACCGTCCAGAGAAAATTTAAAGACATCCTTCGAACCGGAGGAGCGCGTTTTCGACAAATCGCTATAGTACAGAATCACAGATGCATACGTTGATTGGAGCAAAACTACCATTGGGCAGGAAACATGATTGTTCCGGGGGGGCCTCGATTGTTTGCATTCCTCGAATTGTGCCAAACCCATTTCTTGAAAAATTTGAAAATTATCAGGTGGCCTTATGTAAAGTTAGCCCCCCAAAAATAATGAATGCGTTTTCAAAGATCGCAGAAGCTACCGCGATTCATGCTAAAATGACAGGGGTTTCTTCATATTGAAAACAAATTGCCTATGTTAATTGGTTTTAGGCGCTAGTGTACACATACACCAAAACGAAACCGGTTCGTTTGGGAAAAAAAACAACAAAACTTTTCGGAATTCAGGGGCCCCTAAACTGTGTATTTCCTTGACATCTCGAAATTGATTTCTCCGCGCATTACATAAACTTTCCCTATACTACATTATCATTACCACCAGATACGTACGGGAAAGTAAAAAATTTAAAAGCCGATGATCAGAGACTTTCGGCATCAAACAAAAAACTATTCGGACAGCGCCGTTGGGGCAACAGGATCTCTTTGGTTTTCCCAGAAAAGATGTTGAAACACTCGATCCCTTGCTGCACATTCTAAGGTCAACCTGTCAAGTCGATGGTGAGGTTGCTGGACCTTGTATTAAGAGGAAATAGTCGCCAAAGAAAAGAACACCACTTTTTGAGCAGGTTGAGCTTGGTCACTACTTCATGGCAAAGGAAAATCATGCCGAAAAATTAACAAAATGCGTTAATGAAGGAAGGCCACAGTAAGTGACATAATCCTAGAGATTACAACACATGAAGACAGGATTGAAATTGCAACCCTGAGGACGCGGCAAGTCATTTTTTGATCGAGAAGAAAATCTCATAATGAGAATAGTAAAGAAGGATCCTCGTATTAGTACACCAAAATTTACTCCACGGGTGGAAATTAGCATTGGCAAGAAAGTAAATCTCGAAACTGTGTGAAGGGACTGAGGAGGTCCAATATCCATAGCCGCGTTGCCAGAAGAAAGCCATTTAGGCCTATAAGTAAAGCTAACAGACGGAAAAGACTGGGGTTTGCTAAATAACACGCAGAAAAAGAATACTGGTGGAACAAAGTAATCTTCGTTGACAAATCGAAAATGAACATGTGCGGATCATATAGAAGAATTCGGGTGTGGAGGAGACTAAAGCTTACTCTAACTGCAGCTTATACTCTCTCAACTGAAAAGCCGGAATGAGAAAACACGTAAGCAACCGTGAAGCACGGAGGAGGGAATGTAATGGTGTGGGGCTGTATGACAGTCACTGGTGGTGGTGAACTTGTGTTCGTGCCCTGAGGAAACCTGCGACATGTCAGGCAGAACGTCGGCCTCTCAGCCAACAACGTGGCGTCTCCGGGAGAGCCAAGAATTTATAAAAAAAAATATGTGCAGGTTCAACTCTCTTGACATTGTTAAAGAAAATTTAAAACAAAATGTTAAAAATCTTGGTACTGTTGATAGATTTTATCCCTAGCACAAGTCCCAAATTGTTCAACTTTGGCTGCTGTACAACTGCCCAAAGGTACTTCATCCACCCCCTCAGTCACCAGACCTTACTCACAGAGAACATCTTTGGGAAAAATTGGGAAAGGAGATAAGAAAATTCCCAATTCATCGCAAACAAAAATTAAAGCAAATAATACTACATGAATAGAGAAAAATGTATCCTTCTAATACCCAAAAACTTGGTACAAAGTATACTACCTATACTGAAGGAAGAGCTGCAGTGAAAGTGGATGGCTATTCAAGGTATTGAACTCTCTTATTGTGTTATTTTTACACCTTTTTTGTTTGAACATTATTTACTGTTTATATTTGTTTACATTTCTATTCAAGTGTCCGAATAATTTTGTGAGTTAACTTTTCAGCATAAAAATTCAAATTTAAAAAAATCAGGTGATTATCATGATTTTATAGAAACTCATAAATACCTTATAACTGCTTATGAAAGTAACCATATAATACACTTTATTACATTTATTTTCTTCTTTTAATATTCCTAATCTGTGATTATTCTGCTAAGTTTTCCATGTCTGAATAGTTTTGTTAGTCACTGTACATATAACAGAATTAAATATTAAAGTAAATTCATTTTGTTATAGCTTTCAGAATTCTTTCAAATTCTGTCAGCTTTCATGCAGCTCATTGCGTGTATTTTGCAAATGTACATTCTCACCTGTGAAGTGGCATTCTATTCTGAGGAAGCTCATCCTGTAGTACCATCTAGACCTTTAGATTGCAAAAGAAAATTATTAGAATAAAAGAAATTGCCATCCACGTGTTCCCTGCAAGCCTCTCTTCGTTGAGCTTGGAATCTTACCATTGCCTTGCCTATTTATTTAAAAATCTGTCATTTTTGTCAAATCGGACTTCTTTAATCTTGGGAACATATTTTCATGATACTGATATTTATAATTACAACACATGTCACAGAAATCACATTCATCAAGTGTCAGTATCTACAACTCACTACAAGAAATCCACATATAACACATGTCCGTAACTTTGCAATGCCAGATGACATTAAACAATTAAAGTTTTGTGGAACTCTCCTTTTGCTTGTAGTGGAAGGAGTAGAGCTGGGGGTGAGTTACTATTTTGTTAGCAATGCAAAAAAATAAAATCTGAAGTTCATTTACCGATGCAAATAGTTTTCTATAACTCAGGAACAAAAATGTCTAGCTTTTCAAATGTTGCTAATCTTGCGATTTTTGAAAATTATATTATTATTTAGTTTGTTTGTTTTTGTAACTTTTAATCATCTTTCAACTATTTATTGTTAAAATGTTGGGAAGGGATTCTGAAAACTCAAGAAAACGTGTGCAGATGATCTTCTCCCCCATATGTCAAATACAGTTTTTACTGTTTTTTGATTAAATAAATCACTAAAAAATCACAGTGGGACTGACATGTACATCCCATGTCAATGATACGTACCTACCTATTACTTGAAATATTCAAAATACCAGAGAAATAATGTTCTCATTAGGAGGATATATCTTGATTTCTTTTCAAATTCAAAATTTGTGTTTTGTAAACATCATATTTTTCTTTAAATTGTTTGTCATTAATTCTTCTTAAGGAGACATTTGAATTGTTTTACACCTTTTGGATTACAGAATATTGTTTTTTTTCTCTTTTTAGGCACTTTAATTTTAAAATAAACTCAAGCTGCAATCAAAAGTTGATAATTTCAGGAAAACATGAGTACTGATGGATTAGCTGTAGGTAATCGCTAAGTTTATATATATATAAAATTTTTTTATTTTCATCCTTGTCTTTCATTAAAGTCTTTTGGCTTTTTGCTTGAGTTTTGAATCTCTAGAAATGACTAAGTGCAAATCATGCATTTTAGTGCGGTAGCCACTAAAACAATGAAATCGTATCATATTTCATGTAACAATACTCTTTCCATGAGTTGATCAGGAAGAACAAATTAGTTGTAGAAAAATTCAGTTAACTGTTATCGATCAATGCAGAGCTTTAAAATGAGAAATAAGGCAAGAATTAGATGAGAAACGTATGTATCAGATAAACAATATGTATATGTATTTGTGAAAATATTGATGAAATTGAATGATGAAAATATTGAACTGATGAAAGTTCATTATCATGTATATCATTACTATATAGTGTAACTATTTGAGATGCTACAGATATCAAATATTTATGTTAATTTTCTGATGCCGTTATTATGAACAAACAATTAGCATGAAGGAATTTAATAAATTTAATTGAGCAGCAGAAAAATGAGAACATAATTTGTTTGGGGAATTTATTTTTCCTCTGTTTTGTAAGATATGAAACCAACCTAAAAAAACGAAATTCTAGCCCATATTTTCTGGATATAATGGTAGTATTAATGAAGTAGTTTTTCTTTTTTATTCTAAACAGTCAAACTTTATATAATGTAAAGGGAAAAAAATATAATCTATGCACATTATGTGTTAATATTCTCTGTAAGGATTCAAACGAGATATCTCAAGGCTTGAAGTTAATATTATTATATTACATCCCAACCCAATGAAGAAGCACCTCTGCCACAGAATACTGCTTCAAGTTAACTCTGGATAAAACATATGCAATTGCTGTAGGGAAACAATGTCTCTAATTCTTCACAAAATGCTTCCATTTGACGAGACATACTCTCATGCAGGAATCAATGGCACACCAACTTAATATACTGATCCACATTGTGGCTTAATAAAGTAATAACTTTTCCACCGGCTGAATTTAATGATAACATTATTCCTATGTAATAACTGATTACTGTACATTTGTGTTCTATATAAAACTACGTAACTCCATATGAAATTCTAATACGTTTTATGGAATTCAGTTTGTTTTGTAGCTATATTTAATTTTTTAGAGTTTGTGCTTTTGTGTCAAAATTCTTGGTACATTTTTGCGGATAATATGTGCAGGTATTATTTTTTTATCGAAGAAACCACTACTTCCTTACTTCTTAAAGAGATATGTTTTAACCCATCAAAAC